TGTAAAAACAAAGGGTGTACTATACTGTGTCTTTGCTTGTTTTTTGGTTCCCCTTTTAAATATAGAGTTTTTGTTAGAAGTTTACATCATGACCTTATATGTATGGTTATTTATATACGGTTAAATGTAAAGGTTATTTGGCACTTTTTTATAATTTCTTTAAACTGTTCTTTTTTCAGGGTGGATTAGCTGTACAGCATACATTTTCAATGACTCTAACAAATAATAATTGGATGCACAAGTTTGACTTTATTTTGAATTTTCTGTAATCCACACAAGTATACATACAGTTTCTGATATATACATACACCCAGTAATATAAGGTTAAATGTTCATTCGCAAGGTGCAGGTCAGATCAGACGATTTTAGTAGCCAGCAAGCCTTTGGGCATAATTCTGGCTGGATATTTGACTTGATGAATCAGTAAAGTTTATTTAAGTTTGATAGTGTGTTGCAAAGAATGAGGTTGGGGCTTTGGGAAAGCCATTCCAAAACCTTAGCTTGTTTTATCATGAGCATGGCCCTAACCGCACCATACTTGAGAGTTGGTACAGAGTTCTTAGGTTTAAAGCCTCACCTTTACACTTCCAAACATACCTATTGTAAGGCAATTGGCTTGTCCATATGGGCGGCAGCAAATTTCAGTCAAGCTTAAAGGTGTCAATTTGGAGTAGAATCTTCCTTTGTTGGGACCCTCTCAGTCCACGGCAATTCAAAACTTGTTTCATTGTGGACAGTAATGCTGGTATTCAAGCAGTTTGCAGTTCATGGAAGGCTTGGTAGATCCTGAGTTGTTCCTGAACATCCTAACCAATTTCCTCTCATGTGAGGGTGACCATTTGGGTGGCGATAAACTATACTTACATGCAACTGTTTGTACAGATGATCCTCAAATCTGCAGTTGGATAGAAATGGCTTCAAGCAACCTTCTCCCAACTTGTGTAGATATATAGTTCTCCTTCTTAGAGCCTCAATGAATTCCATGGAATGTCCCATTGTTCTGAGTGTTACTCATAATATTGTTGGGTCATTAAAATATTAAGTGCCTTGATGTCTTGTGATCTGGCACTATATAAAACTAAACTGAATGAAATTGAAATTGGTCAGTCTAGTGTGTGCAGTCAAACAAATCGCTTTTATTCAGACAAAGAGAAATTGCTAGTTGTAGTCAACCATGACCACTAACGAGAAGCTAACAGGCCTTGGCCTTGGCAAATTAAAAGACACTTTAGAACATTCAGCTCCACTTATTAAAAGTTGAAATGATTGTATGTGTATATTTGAGCCTATACGTATAGTTGACCATGTGTGGATTACAGAAAATACAAAATAAAGCCAAATTCTAGTTGTTTAAAGTCATTAAAGATATATGCTGTACAATCATTCCACCCTCAAAAAAAGCACATTTCAAAGAAATAATTAAAAAGCCCAAAATGTCCTTGATGAGTTCG